TTGACGAGCTCTTTATTTTTTCTCAGCAATTATCACCTTCTATGCATTTTCATTGTTTTGTGGTGACATATATATATATATATATATATATGAGTATATAATAAAAGGATAAGTATTTGATGTTTTTTCGTTAAGAAATTCTTTCAATGTAGTTTTGCCTTTGAAAGCTAAGGGGAGTCTCCTTGTATAAAGTATAACAAGGCTATCATTTTTGAAAATTTTGTAAAGTAAATAATTTTTTTTTTCAAAGTTAAAAAAATTATTTGTCAATTATTATCAAAAGTTATTTGTTATTAATATAAACGAGGGGGTTAACTTTTTAAAAAGTTGGGGTGGCAACTCACTATTTTAACCACTTATACTAATAAGAAAAGAAAAATTTAGAGATTTAGATTGATAGTTTGAAGGATTTAGACTAAAATATAAAATAGATTAATTTTTTTTTATTGTTCTTAAAATACTTTTTTTATAGAAACAATGGTTGCTTTATAATTTTTGTACATGAGTTGTTACAAGAGGAAGGTTACCATAACAATTATTTGTTAGGCCAATTATAAAACTTAAGAATGATGAGGAATCATTGTCTCTAATGCTTTGGAAGAGTTGCTTCATGATTTAAAAATATCCTTTTTCATATTATGATGAGGTAAGAAGAGTATAAGCATAAGATCAATGTGGTAGGAATTTAGATTAACAGTTTAAGTTTATAATCTTAACATTTTGATATTATTGTAACTATTCAATGACAATAGGTTTGAAATTTTTGATTTCTACTATAAAAAAGTCCCATCATTTTACTTTGTATCTCCTGATGAGGAGAAGATATTCATGTTTGGTATTATATTCAAAATAACAAGAGCAAATTCAAGGGATAGAATTTAGAACAAAAAAGAAAAATGGTGAGAATTTTTTTTAAGTCCTGAGGGTTTAAATTTTGTTTGAAGTAAAGATTTAAATTTTGTTTGAAGTAAGTGTAACTATTTTCAACTAAATGGTGAGGTTTTATTATTTTATAAGTACAACCAAAGCAATTCCATCATTAAAGAAACTAATTACATAAATTTGAAATCTTGATGGAATTATTAAAATAGAATAGCTAGACTACCATTGAAATTTAAGAGGAAAAAGGTGTTGAACCATACTTGTCAATAATTCCAATAAAAATAAGTCTAAGTAATAAAATTATCCAGTTTTACATGTGATAACTAATTAGAAATTGAATTATTTGGTGAAGGGATTTTTTCCAATTAGAAAGATAAAAAATGTTTTGAATGATACATGTAGAATAGTGGTATTAAAAATGATTTTGTTGTAGTTTAAAAAAATTGAATTTAATTGAATCTATTATTTCAAGTATTGTCATATAGTAAAATTGAGGTTTGGATAAATTTCAAAGCTTAAAATATTAATTTGGAGAAAATATTTTTATAGATGCAATAAAAAAAATTAAATGAAAATTTTCATTTTTAATAGTTAAAATATTTTAAAATTTTAGTTTTATAATGTGATCAAATTTTTTTTGGAAGCTTTTAAAATAATTTAAATGAAGAAATTATATTAAAAAGAAAACGGAGATTTTTGAGAGGAATAACAGGCTTATGTTTTGAAAATTGGTTAGTTTACTTATTCGAGAAGACTTTTCTTCTTGTAAGGATTTTTAACTGATAGCTTGTATGGCTATAAGTATTTTTGATGAATTGAATAGAAATTTTATCTATTTTTATATTTTTAAGGGTTTTACTTCCTCGTTTTTAATTACTGTTTTACATTAAGATTTAATTGGTTTTATAAAAGAAATTGTTTAGACAAAAATTTTTATAATAAAATAATTTTTTTAACAATTATTTTAATATGCTGATGTGATTGAAAAATTTATTCTTTGTTATTTTATATTTATTTAAAAATACTATCATGCCTCAATTCACAAGTATATATCCCAATTATTTTGGGAAGTAGTTAAGAGATTAAAAATATATAAATAATGAATTTTTTGTTTTTATTTTTTAATATGTTGAATAATTCTTTTATAACTTTTTTGAAAATAAAATATTATTACTCTATCACAATTAACAAGGTGAAATGACTTTACATCCAAAGCAAGCTCAAAGGTGAAAAAGAAACGCCCTTTATATTTTCTGTTGATAATATCTCATTAACCCTACTTGTGTTATGTTTTTTTTCCTCTTGGCGTCATCTTTTTTTTTTTTCAGAGAGTGGTTCTATAAAGGATGACATTTTTATAACTGTTGGTAGGTGTGTTTTTTAATGATATTGATTTAATTATAGTGAGTTTTTTTCTTGGAATAAATTTAATAAAAATATATAAACATTATATTTTTATTTTTTTATATAAAAGGTTTATTATCTTGTTTGAAAATATAGTTCCAGTTTCTATATAAATAATTTTTTATATCAAAAGATATGTTAATAATTTTTTCATTTTTAAAAAATTATATGAAAATAATTTAAAAATACTAAAAATATATTAATTTGAAGTAAATAAAAAATTTTAATTTTTTTTAAAATGTTTTTGATAAATAAAAACAAATAGATAATTACGTCGAATCGAGTAGTTTCTAAAGCAATTGAAGCTTTGCTTGAAAAAGGATTGACAAGAACACAGTTGAAAAAAAAATTATCCGAAACACTTTGCATCAATGATTCCATAATGTTATGCTGTCCACTGGATTGAGTTTCAATAATAGAGGTCTCGATAGCAAGGAGAGTGCAAGACAGCGTCCAGCACCTGGCTGATCTGGACAGCGAGGGTGTCCACATGTTACGTGGGACCTGCCATCGAGGTATGCCGCGTGGATGCAGGCCATGTAATGGAGATGACGTGGTACGAGATTGGAGGGACTGTCCTCCAGAAAGGGGGATTGTTGGCCCTTTAGAGGTGGGGTCCAAGGAAAAAGGGGGAGCCTTTAAGACAAACCCATCTGGCTACTATCCATATTCATGTGCATACATTAATCAATTTGAGTGAGATAAAAAGCAAAGCAAACCCCATAAAGAAAAGCATGATTCCTGTGCCTTGTGAGGGAAGGGTCACTTTCCCCCGCCCTATAAAATATGCCCCTGCAACATTATTACTAATTCCTCCTCCCTCTTTTTAGATAATTACAACCGCACCCCTGTCTTCCTTCTAGCCCCCCTCTGCCTCGTGTGACCAGAACCAAAGTAGTGTGTTGCCATAGAGCACGAGCTTAAATAAAAATCGGAAGAACCAGGAAGCTTCATCTTGGTTGAATGAATCAGCGGAAGAGACTTTCTCGTGTCGGGAGATCTTGTGTTCGAGTCTTTTCTTTGTAATAATTTTTTTTTGAAAGAAATACGTTCATTAGGTTGCAATTATGGTCACCCCTCCCTGGAGACACTGCTAAGAGCTACAGCTATGTGTTCCATTTTGGGAGGTAAAAATGAATATTTTGAACAAAAAAGAAAAGGGAAGAAAAAAAGTGCACTTATTCCCTGAGCTCACTTTGAAGCAGGAGGGCAAATGGGTAAATTGAAAGTGACCACGGAGAAATAACTGGGGAGTTTCTTACGCGATCTTCACTTGCTTTTCGGACAATTTGATGGCGTCTTATCTTTATATTTTCGTCCCCGGTAGTTGAACCAGAGGACCCGTGATGGGTGACCGTCTATGCCCGGTGACAATCATGAACCCTAACCGATGTATCCATAACATAGGGAAGAGCGACTCATCAATAGATTTATTATATATCAAAACCGTCAAAAATAAAAAACTATTATAACTATAGACATATTCTCAAATTCACTAACTAAAAAGCTATTATAAAATTTTATATTTAAAAAAAAATTAAAAAACCTTATGATTATTGAATTATAAAAATTACCTTTAAATAAAAAGATATCATAAAAAATAAAAATATTTCTAAAGACCTTCTATATTAATCTTTCTAAGTTGAAAAGAATACATCTTTGAATTCAATTTTTAATAAAAATTTATTTTTTATTAAGAACATTTTTTTTTTTTGCATGTGAGCTACCTCATTCTAGATTCATAATATTTTTATGTAAATCATCTTATTATAAATCTTTAATATAATATTTTTATATACATCTATCTAACAGATAATACCATTAGAATTAAAAATGACAACAATTTATGCAGACAAAACAATATATTAGTTCCTAGAGGTGCCTCATTATCCTTTCATATATAAAAACATCATATTTTAAAACTTCTTCTCGTCATCGTTGTTCCACATCATATAACAAAACAAAATAAACCACTATGGAACCATTGTTGTTTTATAGGACATAATAAAATAAAATAATCACTAAAAATCATCGATCACTTTTCTTAGATTATGGAGTTTTGATATCAAGGAACTCATACTTAAGTAAAAGATAAATAAATTTATTATATATCAACACTTTTAAAAACTAAAAACACTATAAATATTTAAATTTATAAAATATTTAATTTTTTCATTTAAATATTTATTTGTCAAGAAAAGAAAATTATTACACTACACTAATAATAATAATAATAATAATAAATAAATTTTCTTCAAATAGAAAAAGATTTAAAAAGCATTATAATAAAAAAACTTAAAAAACATTATTTTTTCTAACAAAATTATTTGAGAGTGTAGTTATAGTTATTTTTTAAAATATATTAAAATAATATTTTTTATTTTAAAAAATTATTTTTAAAATCCATACATTAAAATAATTTAAAATATAAAAACAAATTAATTTTAATAAAGTAATTAATTTAAAAAAAAAAACACCATTACACTCGTATTTCCATTTGCTCACATTCGCTCCCCAAGTTTGTAATAAAACTGTTTCCTAAAAAAACAAAAACAATAATAATTATAGGGTATTGTATAGAGTGCAATAGGCCACGTAGCCATAGTGACGAGAGAGAGAATAAAAGGAAGTGGTGCCAGCTATGAAGTTGAAGGATCAAAGCTTTCTCTGAGGTCAGAGCTGGCAATTTATTTATTTAGTTATTTATTTATTGCTTTTCTTTGAAGGCCAGGCCTCTCTCGCTCTCTCTCTCTCTCACAGCTTTAGTTTCTCTCCCATATTTACAACACACTTAAACATAAACAAGATTTTAAATCCAAAGATCAACCCTCCCTCTCTCCCCACTTTGTTCCCGTTTTCCCTCTTTCCATTCCATTCCCTTGCTATATATATTTCTTCTCCTTTTTATCTCACAACCGAAAAAATATATGTGCTTTGGGGGAGACAGAGATAGAGATAGAGGGAGAGAGGGAGTGGTTAATGGTTGATTCTTCTTCTTCCTCAACAAGAAAAAAACAACAACCATGGCTGCTTCTACTTCTCCTTGTCCAAGTATGAATGACAAGAAGCACTGGTGGCTAAGCAACCGGAAGGTAAAATATACAACTTTCTTCCTTTGATGAAGAGGATCTCTGTTTTGCCTTTATATTTCATTTCCTATGGTTTATTTCATCTCTTTCTCGAATGGGTTTGAGCTTTTCTTTTTCGTACATATATATTCCTGTGAGAGTTAATGAGCTAGTGCATCAACTTTCGTGTGATCATACAGATTGTGGACAAGTACATTAAAGATGCAAGAAACCTGATTGCAAGCCAAGAACAGAGCGAGATTGCGTCGGCTCTTAAGCTTCTAGACGCGGCACTTGCACTCTCTCCTCGCCTAGAAGTAGCTCTTGAACTCAAAGCAAGATCTTTGCTCTATCTTAGGCGATTCAAGGAGGTGGCTGATATGCTTCAAGACTACATTCCTAGCCTTAAAATGGCAAACGACGATTCGGGATCTATTTCTTCTTCTGATAGTTCTTCTCAGCAGCTTTCAAGAGAGCGAGTTAAGCTGCTGCCTTCAGATAACTCTGATCCAAGTTTCAAGTGTTTCTCTGTCTCCGACTTGAAGAAGAAAGTGATGGCCGGACTCTGTAAAAATTGCGATAAAGAAGGGCAATGGAGGTAAGTTCCTCGGTTTCTGTTTCTCTTTTGAAGCTATGGTATGCGGTTCAACTTTTAATAACCATATTTATTGTCTAGATCAGTGGATATGTTTTTGCGTTGGTTGGAGTAAAACACAGCCAGCCAGCCATGTGTTCTTACGAAAGAGTGTCGCACATTGGTTGAATCATTAGTTCAGAAAGCATGATTGGTTAAGAACCCAAATTTATAATAAGCCATTATCATGCCGTCGAGATTAAAAGGGAGGCTTCTGTGTATGTGAATACATAATATATATTTAACAAGCTTATCGACCTCAGTGTGTTTTTTAATCAAGAATCTTTGGGAATTCCCGTCTCCTTTCTTGCTTCCTTGTATGTAAACATGTCTAGAGAATGGGAGCGTCTCCCCCGATCGATCAACTAATAGATCATTATTAGTTTATATATATCGACTAAGATTGGCACAAGAGAGAACCCCATGATGATGCTGATTCCCCTGCCCTTTTAATAAGGACCTTGTTGCAAGCATAAGCTATATATTCTGGTGCATATATAATGCTACGTACCTGCTGACAGGATGCCAGAGCTCTGCCGAATTATTTCCATGATTGTCACAGCTGTGAGCCCAATTAATTTGAAATCAAGACCCTGCAGGATTATTCATCCAAGGTTTAGAAATAAAAATAACAGGACAAGAAATGAGGTCGGGTGTTAATTATGAAGACTTGGTGTGAAACAAAATTTAAAACCTTGATATCAACAACTAACCTGTAGATTTATTGACTAATTAATCTCATAAAAACTCTGCCAAAATCTGGTCCTTATATTTATGATTAGCTTAATACGTGTGGTCCAAACCAAAACATAATCATGATGGGCATCTCCAATCAATGCTTGAAGAATCTTGCAGAATTCCCCTTGGCTAGGGGTGAGGACAGGAAAATAAACGCATGTACATATATAAACCAAGTGATCAAGGGGCATGCACGGCGAAATTGCTTTCAAATCAAACGTCTCAGGTATAATTAAGACGAAAGTAGCTATAAATATAAAACTATTTATTTATTTATTTATTGTTGATAAGTACTGTTTCTTCCATCTGTCATTAAAATATTAATATTCTATGTCACTTACCAGGAATGACCACTTATGTGTTTGTGGGTGTGGTGGCTTCGAAGGAATGTGTTGAAGAAAGCAGCACCTACCATACTTATCGTGGTCGAATAAACCTGTTTTCTCATGCTATAAGGGATCATATAGGGAGGTTCAATGCCCTATGTACGTCCTTATATAATGTAACTATGGTCGATTCCATTTTTAATAATGGTGGAGACACTGCATGTGTTCTCATATTGGGCGCATGATCTGCTCTTCACGTGATATACCAATGCCCTTCAAATTGAAATTTGTAGGTGGACAACCAGTCTCGTCAATTTTAGTTGTTCTTGGCCCATTTTCATTCAGAATAAAAACAAGTGTAGGCTCCGTTCTTCAGAAGAGACCTGCCCTAGCTATAGGATAGAAAAAACAATGAAGATCGAAGAAGAAAAACAACTGGAAGAAGATGCGCACTAATTAAAATGGATAACTGGTCGTGTTGGATGTTGATGATATACATATACGTGAAGAGGGAGCATTCATTAAGATAGGTTAAGGGACACACGCAAACCCAAGACATGCAAGTGAATAAGTGAGAATTAATGATCATTCAACGTTTTGTTCACAAAGGTTTCTCAAATAAAAAAAGTTAACTGGACCCTGCAAGTTGAGCGATGTGCGTAATTTTCTTCTGTTTTTATCTATTGATCATCTTTACCTAGAATATTATTGCTCGTCTTCATCAGAATAAGGGGCCCCAAGTTCTACAACCTGGAGTCCTTAGCTGTATAAGAGCTGCTCCTGCGTTAATGGAAGAAAACAACCCTTGTAGACCCCAACATTACGTTGGTCCAGTGGTCCCAGACCTGTGGGAACAGCAGCAACAACCCAAGTAACGTAGGTTGGACCTCAATGCTACGAGAGGAGAATATATAGCATCTCATTCCTGGCTGCTGGTTTAGATTAGATCGATTACTTTGTCGCCCGCGCTTTGTCGCGGGTAGGGTGAAATTTGCTGGCCAGCGCAAAAATGTTAGTTTGAGTGAAACAATCTGTATATAAAATTGGAGGACACTATTTTAAAAGAACAAAAATAGTTCAAAACTATGTATAGAAGCATGTCGAATTATTTGATTATTCATAAGTAGTACTTAATTTTAAATTATAATACCATAATAACACTAAGAGTTTTGGTATTACGGTTTCTGTTGTGGTTGTGGTTTAAAAAAAATTATTTTATAAAAAGTACTTTTAGTTGAGATTGGTTTTGAAAAAATAGGTATTTGGTTAAAACTGTGGTTGAAATTAAGGTTGAAAAAAAAATTAATATATTTGGTTAAGAATGCTTTTAAAATTGAGGTTATAAAATAATTTTAAAAAATATATATTAATATTTATGATTTTTAATTTAAATATTATAGATTTAACTATTGCTATTACATCGTGAAATAAATCATACTTTATATATATAAAAAATTATTGTTTCATTAAACTATCTATAATTTTATTACATATAAAATTCATCTGACAAAAACTACAGTTTTCATGATTTTTTGAGCGTGTAATAAAATTAAATAAAATATTATCAGAAATAAAATTGAAATTACAGTACAAATAAATTTAATTCACTTTTAACTAATTTAAAAAAAAAATTATTATTTTTTGAAAAATAAAATGTTAACTGATTTTTCAAAAAAAAAAAACTGTTTTAAAAATCAGTATCTTTCCACATTGTTCACTAAAGTGAACAGTATGGAGAGATGCTGATTTTTCAAAAAAAAAAATTAAAAGCAAACAATGTTCACTAAAGTGAACAGTGCACACACACTATTTACTAAAGTGAACACTAGAGAGGGATGCTGCATGGTGCAGCAGCAAGAAGCACGTAGAATTTACTTTCATTTTTCAGCGTTTCAAACATGAAATTGGGTAGGACCCATGAATAATATTTTACGTTTTTTTTTGTTACTAAACATTGTTGCATCTGCATTTTAAGCAAAACACAGATGCAACAACGTAGACAAACACTCTCTTACATGAGTGTAGTACATTTCTAACACCTCGATCCCCTCCTCTCCTCTTGACAAGCTCTTTATTTTTTCCCAGCAATTATCACCTTCTATGCATTTTCACTGTTTTGTGGTGACATATATATATATATATATATTTGAGTATATAATAAGAGGATAAGTATTTGATGTTTTTTTGTTAAGAAATTCTTTCAATGTAGTTTTGCCTTTAAAAGCTAGGAGGAGTCTCCTTGTATAAAATATAACAAGGCTATCATCTTTGAAAATTTTGTAAAGCAAATAAATTTTTTTTTTCAAAGTTAAAAAAATTATCTGTCAATTATTATCAAAAGTTATTTATTATTAATATAAACGAGGGGGTTAACTTTTTAAAAAGTTGGAGTGGCAACTCACTATTTTAACCATTTATACTAACAAGAAAAGAAAAATCTGGAGATTTGGATTGATAGTTTGAAGGATTTAGACTAAAAAATAAAATAGATTAAAATATTTTTATTGTTTTTAAAATACTTTTTTTATGGAGACAATGGTTGCTTTATAATTTTTGTACATGAGTTGTTACAGGAGGAAGGTTACCATAACAATTATTTGCTAAGCCAATTATAGAACTTAAGAATGATGAGGAATCATTGTCTCTAATGCTTTGAAAGAGTTGCTTCATGATTTAAAAATATCCTTTTTCATATTATGATGAGGTAAGAAGAGCATGAGCACAAGATCAATGTGGTAGGCATTTAGACTAAGAGTTTGAGTCTATAATCTTAGCATTTTGATATTGTTGTAATCATTTAACGACAATAGGTTTGAAACTTTTGATTTCTATTGTAAAAGAGTTCCATCATTTTACTTTGTATCTCCTGATGAGGATAGAATATTCATGCTTGGTATTATATTTAAAATAACAGGAGCAAATCCAAGGGATAGAATTTAGAACAAAAAAGGAGAATGGTGAGAATTTTTCTTAATTCCTAAGGGTTTAAATTTTGTTTGAAATAAGTGTAATTATTTTCAACTAAATGGTGAGGTTTTATTACTTTATAAGTACAACCAAAGTAATTCCATCATTGAAGAAACTAGTTATATAAATTTAAAATCTTGATGGAATTATTAAAATAGATTAGATAGACTACTGTTGAAATTTAAGAGGAAAAAGGTGTTGAACCATGCTTGTCAATAATTCCAATAAAAATAAGTATAGGCAATGAAATTATTCAGTTTAACATGATAACTAATTAGAAATTGAATTGCTTGGTGAAGGGAATTTTTCCAATTAGAAAGATGAAAAATGTTTTGAATGATACATGTAGAATAGTGGTATTGAAAATGATTTTGTTGTAGTTTAAAAAGTTTGAATTTAATTGAACCTATTATTTCAAGTATTGTCATATAGTAAGATTGAGGTTTGGATAAATTTCAAAGCTTGAAATATCAATTTGGAGAAAAGATTTTTGTAGATGCAATGAAAAGATTAGAATGAAAATTTTCATTTTTAATAGTTAAAATATTTTAAAATTTTGGTTTTATAATGTGATCAGATTTTTTTTTGGAAGCTTTTAAAATAATTTAAATGAAGAAATTATATTAAAAAGGAAGCGGAGGTTTTTGAGAGGAATAACAAGCTTATATTTTGAAAATTGGTTAGTTTACTTATTCAAGAAGACTTTTTTTCTTGTAAGGACTTTTGACTGATAGCTTGTATGGCCATAAGTATTTTTGATGAATTGAATAGAAATTCTATCTATTTTTATATTTTTAAGTGTTTTACTTCCTTGTTTTTAATTATCGTTTTATATTAGGATTTAATTGGTTTTATAGAAGAAATTGTTGAGGCAAGGATTTTTATAATGAAATAATTTTTTGACAAATCATTTTAATGTACTAATGTGATTGAAGAATTTACTTTTTATTATTTTATACTTGTTTAAAAATACTATGATGCCTTAATTCAGAAGCATATATCCCAATTATTTTGGGAAGTAGTTAAGAGATTGAAAATATATAAATGATGAATTTTTTGTTTTTATTTTTAAATATGTTGAATAATCCTTTAATAACTTTTTTTTTTAAAATAAAATATTATTACTCGGTCACAATTAACAATTAACAAGGTGAAATGACTTTACATCCAAAGCAAGTGAAAAGTGAAAAAGAAACGCCCTTTATATTTTCTGTTGATAATGCCTCATTAACCCTACTTGTGTTATGTTTTTTTCCCACTTGGCGTCATCCTTTTTTTTTTTCAAAGAGTGGTTCTATAAAGGATGATTTTTTTTTTATTTACATGGGGTGTCCGGGCCAGCTTTCGTGCACCATGATTAATTCCTACGGCCCACTGAATACCCTGCAAACCCAATAGATATGTAAGGCACCGCAGAGGTGACAGACGTGCACGTCAGGGCTCGAACCCAGGTGTAGTGGAAGGAAACATTTTTGTAACTGCTGATAGGTGTGTTTTTTAATGATATTGATTTGATTATAATGAGTTTTTTTCTTGGAATAAACTTAATAATAAAATATAAATATTACATTCTTGTATTTTTTTTTTATTTTTGTTATTTGAAATGTTTACGAGCCTATTTAAAAATATAGTTATGATTGCTATTCAAATAATTTTTTATATCAAATAATATGTTAATAATTTTTTATTTTTAAAAGATTATTTTTGATATTATTATATAAAAATAATTTAAAAATATTAAAAATATATTAATTTGAAGTAAATAAAAAATTTTGAATTTTTTTTAATGTTTTTGATATATTAAAAAATAGATAATTACGTCGAATCGAGTAGTTTCTAAAGCAATTGAAGCTTTGCTTGAAAAAGGATTGACAAGAACACAGTTGAAAAAAAAATTATCCGAAACACTATGCATCATTGATTCCATAATGTTATGCTGTCCACTGGATTGAGTTTCAATAATAGAGGTCTCGATAGCAAGGAGAGTGCAAGACAGCGTCCAGCACCTAGCTGATCTGGACAGCGAGGGTGTCCTCATGTTACGTGGGACCTGCCATCCAGGCATGCCACGTGGATGCAGGCCATGTAATGTAGCTGACGTGGCAGGAGATTGGAGGGACTGTCCTCCAGGAAGGGGGATTGTTGGCCCTTTAGAGGTGGGGTCCAAGGAAAAAGGGGGAGCCTTTAAGACAAACCCATCTGGCTACTATCCATATTCATGTGCATACATTAATCAATTTGAGTGAGATAAAAAGCAAAGCAAACCCCATAAAGAAAAGCATGATTCCTGTGCCTTGTGAGGGAAGGGTCACTTTCCCCCGCCCTATAAAATATGCCCCTGCAACATTATTACTAATTCCTCCTCCCTCTTTTTAGATAATTACAACCGCACCCCTGTCTTCCTTCTAGCCCCCCTCTGCCTCGTGTGACCAGAACCAAAGTAGTGTGTTGCCATAGAGCACGAGCTTAAATAAAAATCGGAAGAACCAGGAAGCTTCATCTTGGTTGAATGAATAAGCGGAAGAGACTTTCTCATGTCGGGAGATCTTGTGTTCGAGTCTTTTGTTTGTAATAAATTTTTTTTAAAAGAAATACGTTCATTAGGTTGCAATTATGGTCACCCCTCCCTGGAGACACTGCTAAGAGCTACAGCTATGTGTTCCATTTTGGGAGGTAAAAATAAATATTTTGAACAAAAAAGAGAAGGAAAGAAAAAAAGTGCACTTATTCCCTGAGCTCACTTTGAAGAAGGAGGGCAAATGGGTAAATTGAAAGTGACCTCAGAGAAATAACTGGGGAGTTTCTTACGCGATCTTCACTTGCTTTTCGGGCACAATTTGATGGCGTCTTATCTTTATATTTTCGTCCCCGGTAGTTGAACCCGAGGACCCGTGATGGGTGACCGTCTATGCCCGGTGACAATCATGAACCCTAACCGATGTATCCATAACATAGGGAAGAGCGAATCATCAATAGATTTATTATATGTCAAACCGTCAAAAATAAAAAACTATTATAACTATAGACATATTCTCAAATTCACTTACTAAAAAGCTATTATAAAATTTTATATTAAAAAATTAAAAAACCTTAATATTATTGAATTATAAAAATTACCTTTAAATAAAAAAATATCATAAAAAAATAAAAAAAATCTTTCTAAAAACCTCTTATATTAATCTTTCTAAATTGCAAGGAATTCAATTTAGAATAAAAATTTATTATTTATCAAGAACATTTTTTTTCCATGTGAGCTATTTCATTCTGGATTCATAATATTTTTATGTAAATCATCTCGTTATAAATCTTTAATACAATATTTTTGTGTACATCTAACAAATAATACCATTAGAATTACAAATAACAGCAATTTATCAACTTATGCAGACAAAAACAATATACTAATTCCTAGAGGGTTCCTCATTATCCTTTCATACATAAAAACATCATATTTTAAAACTTCTTCTTGTCATAGTTGTTCCACATTATATAACAAAGCAAAATAAACTACTATGGAACCATTGTTATTTTATAGTACATAATAAAATAAAATAATTATTAAAAATTATTGATCAATTTTCTTAGATTATGGAGTTATGATATCAACTAACTCATACTCAAGTAAAAGATAAATAAATTTATTATAGGTCAAAATTCTTAAAAGCTAAAAACACTATAAGTATTTAAAATTATAAAATATTTAATTTTTTCATTTAAATATTTATTCGTCAAAAAAAGAAATTATTACAATACACTAATAATAGTAAATAAATTTTCTTCAAATAGAAAAAGATTTAAAAAGTATTATAATAAAAAAAAACTTAAAAAGCATTATTTTTTCTAACAAAATTATTTGGGAGCGTGGGTGAGATTTATTTTTAAAGTATTTTTTATTTTAAAATATATTAAAATAATATTTTTTTTATTTTTAAAATTATTTTTAAAATTCATACATCAAAATAATTTAAAATATAAAAATAAAATAATTTTAATAAAATAATTAATTTTTTAAAAAAAACAAGAATACACTCACATTTCCATTTGCTCACATTCGCTCCCAAAGTTTGTAATAAAACTGTTTTCCTAAAAAAACAAAAACAATAATAATTATAGGGTGTTGTATAGAGTGCAATAGGCCACGTAGCCATAGTGACGAGAGAGAGAATAAAAGGAAGTGGTGCCAGCTATGAAGTTGAAGGATCAAAGCTTTCTCTGAGGTCAGAGCTGGCAATTTATTTATTTAGTTATTTATTTATTGCTTTTCTTTGAAGGCCAGGCCTCTCTCGCTCTCTCTCTCTCTCACAGCTTTAGTTTCTCTCCCATATTTACAACACACTTAAACATAAACAAGATTTTAAATCCAAAGATCAACCCTCCCTCTCTCCCCACTTTGTTCCCGTTTTCCCTCTTTCCATTCCATCCCTCTCTCCCCACTTTGTTCCCGTTTTCTCTCTTTCCCTTGCTATATATATTTCTTCTCCTTTTTATCTCACAACCGAAAAAATATATGTGCTTTGGGGGAGACAGAGATAGAGATAGAGGGAGAGAGGGAGTGGTTAATGGTTGATTCTTCTTCTTCCTCAACAAGAAAAAAACAACAACCATGGCTGCTTCTACTTCTCCTTGTCCAAGTATGAATGACAAGAAGCACTGGTGGCTAAGCAACCGGAAGGTAAAATATACAACTTTCTTCCTTTGATGAAGAGGATCTCTGTTTTGCCTTTATATTTCATTTCCTATGGTTTATTTCATCTCTTTCTCGAATGGGTTTGAGCTTTTCTTTTTCGTACATATATATTCCTGTGAGAGTTAATGAGCTAGTGCATCAACTTTCGTGTGATCATACAGATTGTGGACAAGTACATTAAAGATGCAAGAAACCTGATTGCAAGCCAAGAACAGAGCGAGATTGCGTCGGCTCTTAAGCTTCTAGACGCGGCACTTGCACTCTCTCCTCGCCTAGAAGTAGCTCTTGAACTCAAAGCAAGATCTTTGCTCTATCTTAGGCGATTCAAGGAGGTGGCTGATATGCTTCAAGACTACATTCCTAGCCTTAAAATGGCAAACGACGATTCGGGATCTATTTCTTCTTCTGATAGTTCTTCTCAGCAGCTTTCAAGAGAGCGAGTTAAGCTGCTGCCTTCAGATAACTCTGATCCAAGTTTCAAGTGTTTCTCTGTCTCCGACTTGAAGAAGAAAGTGATGGCCGGACTCTGTAAAAATTGCGATAAAGAAGGGCAATGGAGGTAAGTTCCTCGGTTTCTGTTTCTCTTTTGAAGCTATGGTATGCGGTTCAACTTTTAATAACCATATTTATTGTCTAGATCAGTGGATATGTTTTTGCGTTGGTTGGAGTAAAACACAGCCAGCCAGCCATGTGTTCTTACCTTTTCCTTTTCTTTTAGGAGATGAAGGTGGTAGCTATAATTGAATTTTTAAAACTTTCAACTATGAAAGGTCTTTTCTTTTTTTGGGAACTACGTAGTGATTCTCTCCAGTGAAAATGCTAGTGCACACGGGCTTTGCCCTGCTTTAACACGATTTGGTCATCTTTTAAGGTTAAAACCATATTTTTGTGTTTTAAAAATTTTTTAATTTTAAAAAATATTTTAAAAATCAATCATAACCACTGTTAATAGTAAAAAAATCCCATGATGGCTATCTGTGCTTTTGCCCAATTCAGTATTTTATTTTATTCTACTGTTTTAGCTTCTAAGTAATTATTTTCTTTTGAAATGGACTAATTAAAAAAAAAAAAAATTGAGTTGTAACTTGGGATCTTGGTGCCAAAGACTCCAAATTTACAAGTTAAACACTTGAAACTTAATGATTCTATTCAACTAACTCGATCATTAACGTATATTCTTACAGGTATCTGGTTTTAGGCCAAGCTTGCTGCCATCTAGGCCTAATGGAAGATGCCATGGTGCTTCTCCAGACCGGAAAACGCCTGACAACTGCTGCATTCCGCCGTCAAAGCATTTCCTGGTCAGAGGACAGCTTCTCTCTCTCAAACTTCCCAATCTCCAGCGATATATCCACATCGACAGCCCCACCTACCCCACCGAGAAATTTAACCGAATCTGAAAGCGTTACGCAACTCCTTGCCCACATTAAGCTACTGCTTCGACGCCGAACAGCCGCGCTGGCGGCCCTGGATGCTGGCCTCTATTCCGAGGCCATCCGCCACTTCACTAAGATCTTGGAGGGCCGACGAGGGGCCCCACAGGGATTCCTTGCTGAATGCTATATGCATAGAGCTTATGCATACAAAGCATCAGGGAGAATTGCAGAGTCCATTGCTGATTGCAACAAGACTTTAGCTTTAGAACCTGCCTGCATTCAGGCGCTTGATACAAGAGCTTCTCTTCTGGAAACAATCCGGTGCTTGCCCGATTGTTTACATGATCTGGAGCACTTGAAACTACTGTATAATTCAATCTTGAGGGATAGGAAGCTACCAGGTCCTGCTTGGAAGCGGCACCAGGTCAGGTACAGAGAGATTCCTGGGAAACTCTGTGCATTGACTACCAAGATTCAAGAACTGAAGAAGAGAGTTGCTTCTGGGGAGACTAGAAATGTTGATTACTATGCTTTGATTGGATTGAGGCGTGGGTGTTCGAGATCCGAATTAGAGAGAGCTCATCTGTTATTGAGCTTGAGGCACAAGCCTGATAAGTCTATAAATTTCGTTGAGAGGTGTGAGTTTGCAAATGATATGGATCTTGAATCGGTAAAAGACCGAGCAAAAATGTCTGCTTTGTTGCTCTATAGATTGCTTCAAAAGGGTTATTCTAACGTCATGTCAACAATCATGGATGAAGAGGCTGCAGAGAAGCAAAGAAAGAAGGCATCAGCTGCTGCTTTGCAAGCAGCTCAAGCAGCAGCAATTCAAACCCAACAGACAACTCAAAATGCCAAAATGGAATCGAACCCATCTGCAGTGGAGATTTCTGGTCCCAACAGGATCAATTCCAATGAAAATAAAGTGGCATCTGCATCTTCAGGGAGCAACACTGCATCTGTCTTTCAAGGGGTGTTTTGCCGCGACCTTGCTGCGGTTGGGAATTTGCTATCACAAGCTGGGTTTAACCGTCCACTTGCTGTGAAATTCGAAGCATTAAGCTGCTAAATGATAAACAAGTTTCTTGAGATGTCACCGGCAGTGGAATCTCTGGTTCATTTTGTATAAACACATATAAATTTAGTCTGCCGGGAAATTTTGTTACCTTTTCCATTTCTTTCTTACCATCTACTCTACTTGTACAGAATTTCAGTACCGAATTATCTATTTATGGGTCTACGCTTTATTGCTTAGTTTAAATTTGGAATTTTATTAGTACATTCTCATCCTATTCTCAACCTTCGTTTTAACTAGTTTGGGTTTTGCCTGTAACTCGGTATCCACATGTGTAGCCAGGGGATTGCCGAGAAGCAAAGCTGGCTTCGGGTTCTCTCTGGTGTCTCATACGTTGCATTTAATTTCTATCAGTCTATCTGTAAGCTGACACGTCTGACATTCCACTATATCTCATTAATTTGCTAATGCCACATCAGGTTTATCTCTATCCACGCTTGGTGAGAAAAATCTCTGCAACTAAACAGTGAATGCTATAATCCTATTGGGTTTGAAGCCACCCTGTGTGGGTGTTATGGCTTTGCGTGCATCTTGTAATTTAAGACAAGGCCGTGTTCCAATGGTGGAAACTGCAGAAGGGACCATGTCAAGTACCTATCTCCCAGCGGAAAAGAGGTTGTCAGGTTTTTTTCACGCCGGGCTAAGGCAACAGAAGAAAGGGTCTTAATCAAGCACTCAATACAAGAAAAAACAAGTTGGTTTTGGAAAGGAGGAGTCATGTCAATTCAAGGCTTGCAGCATCCGAGCTTTTTTTTTCCTACACATCTGCACTCCACACATCTGTGTATAGACACCTAAAGTGTACAAAATAATGACTGGTTGAGGCAAGATAAGGAGCAATAATGGCGATTCGCATTCTGCGGTCCTGTGTGACTGACTGTGGGGAGGCTTAGACTTTTAAGAGGGTTGTTGGGTATCAATAAGGTTTCCCAACCTCCTCAGACCTCATTGTATCTGTTGGAACATTTAGATAGCATCTCATTACTTTTCTAGTATAGAAAAGATAATGCCGAGACGGCAGAGGGAATGGGAAATATATATATAAAATAGAAATTCATATGAAAAAAAAATTGTTTTTGGAATAAATTTATAGCTAATTTTTATATTTTAACAAATAAAATATAAAAAGACATACCTTCAAAGATAATATATCTTATTTTTTATTTTTAAAATATTATTATAAAAAACTTTTAATTCTAAAAATATCAAACTAAGACATACAATAATAAAACTACAGTAATAACAAGTTTTGTCCTTATATTAACTTAGATTAACTAGAAAAAATAAATTTTTTTATATTTTTTTATGATTTGTTCACCATAATCAAATGACATATAAAAATAATCATTTTATCTTATCTTGTATGTTATTTAAAACATGTATCTCCTATGTAAGACAAATAATAATAATAATAATAATAATAAACCAGGTTTCTATTCCATGCAAAAAATTGCATCATTGTGTTATGATTTTTATTCCGAGTCATGTTCAGCATTGCAATATAATTATGCTTTTGAAATTTTTTAAAATTCTTTTTTAGCTTTAAATTAAATATTTTTTATTTTTTTAATATGCACATAACAAAAATAAATTTTAAAAAATAAAAAAATATTTAATATATTTTTAAATAAAAAATATTTTAAAAAATAATTTCATCGTTATTCCAAACAATTCTACAACTACTCACCTCCAAAGAAACACGGTGGGGCTAAAGCTTTTCTCAAAAACTGTCTTTGGCAATTAACCACTTACTATTACTATGAGTTGCTTTTACTGTGGGAAATAATTAAGATTGCCTTTCTGTGTGGTCATCAAATTTTGCCAAAGAAAAACAATTATTCAAGCATTATCATTGCTTGAACTGCCGAGTAATTATCCTTGTAATTTGACAATTGCCGCAGAGAGCCCATCTTGAACAATATTGTAAAGCAATTTAAAATAGAATCCTTTTCATTTAATGTTTAACATTAAGTTCATGTTTATCTACACCGATTATTGAAATAAAAAGATCTAATCTTTTGTGTTTTTCATTCCTGCCATAATCTACAAAAACGAAGCGACGAGCCATGTAAACAAACAGGATCTAGAAAGATTAATAATCTAGTCTAATTAAATTTACATTAATAATAACAAAATATAGGAATCAATGATAGCAGAAAGATAGCTCAGCTGCATGTAGTTTTCCATGTAAATGATGACAGGGTAAAAGAGACCAAAGCTTGATGTCTCTCTTGTCAATGGAGGAAGTGGGTGCATGCATTGTTTAGGTGATACTTCCCCTCTGTTCACTTTAAGACAACAAAAAAGAGCTCCCAAGCCTAGCAGTGTACTCAAATAATATGCCGTCTTCACTTGTTAAAGATGCTCTCTCTGTCTTTCCTTACAAGTGATTTGAGAACTTTTTTACCCTCATAAATTTCGCTTTGTCCTTTTGTCCTTCCACGCTACTCAACAGCTTTAGTTGTATCCAGTCCCCACCCTCATGCAAAATGATAATTATGTTGATAATTAACTTCTGATCGACAGAGAGCTTGAGATTAATTATGATTTGAACGTCTGCCTATCTTCTCTCTCCCTTTAATTAAGCCTTGATGAGATCTCAGCTGGTCTAAACTTGGATTCACTGATCCATGTTAATACGAGTGATGATTTTGATACTTGTCTTACCCTACCAGTAAGAGTACGTGCTATAGTTTTGGATGCTCAAGCTTTTTAACCTCATGGGAGAATTTTATCCTTGTGCTTGAGGACAGCATGTTGATCTTCCACCAGAAAACTTGCTCTCAATCTGCAGTATGATGTCTCCTGTAGAATTCTATGACACTTGTTCTTGCTGTGTTCTTTCAACGGACGTGTTTCTTATATTATTGTTATTATTAATGTAGCTCCTCTGCGTAGTTTTTCGAATTTTTTTTTTGTGTCGATATTTCCAGCAATTTTCAAATGCTGGAAACGCGCTCAGGTATGAATGAGAGCCAGTTAAATGCCATTGTAATTCTTGGACGCTTCTTGCAATATTAAATTTCAACTCTTTTAGAACATTATATTTATTTTCTTATGGCGAAAGAAAGGGGGCTCTGCACGAATTCTCACGAGGCTGCCATTTTTATAAATAAAGTCGTCAGATCAGATATCATGGAGCATCTCTAAAAGCATGAGATATTATTTAAGGCTTAATCCTCACAGAGTAGAACAAATTAAATTCATGGTATCATGTATAATGACTACAACACCCTCGCTTGCTGGGTGCATTTGGAGGGTAAGAAGGGAACTAGGAGGAACAGAGGACTTGGTGTTTGAAGGCTGGGAACAATGGAAAGAGGAGAAGTCGTGGCCAGATATGATGATGTCAGGAGCCCCATGTGATGCTATCATGTGCAATGATCGCCCTTTTCTTCCTTTTTCCTTCTGATAGGGAGGACGGGGTACTCAAGGCTTGTTTCTAGCTCTTTGTCAAAACCAGGTTTTGGGGAATTTTACAGATAGATAAATGTGTTCGTTGATGAGTTGAGCACCAATTCCTCGTCCATTTCACACCTTTTTCATCTTTTAGCTCAACTTTTAGGGTGGTTGAAATATTTGCTAATCTTTAACATTCTTTTGGTGACTTGAAATCTTAAAAAATTTCTTTCGAGAAATTCTTGTGAATAATTTTTTTTTTATTGTAAGTCATTTTAGAAATTGGTTGGTGTTAAAGTAGCTTTTATAATTATGTTTTTATTTTTTTTTAATAAAAAACACTTATAATTGCTATTAATATGGTTCTATGTGTATTTGATTGAAACTATTATTGGTATTCATGTTGAATAAAAAATAATTGAAAGGTGTTTGATTAAAATTGTTTTTGAAGTTGTTGAAACTAAAATAACTAAAAAAACACTGTATAATTTATAGCTTTAAATTAAATAAAACACATGTGATTATTAATAAATAAGAAAGGTAGCAAATCAACACTAAGCAACATTAGGAGTCCTCGTTATATTATCTCATTAAACTAGTTGTAGTTCTACCATGAACATGGTCTATTTAAGATGGCCTATGACATCTAGAGCTTTTTGAATGTTGCATGATATCTATTAAAATATTATTAGGAATAAAGTTTGGATGGCAATCATATTTTCCAAATGCATGATCTTCCTAAACTTTCTTATAATGTAACTATTGATACTACTACAATTTGAATTTGTGTTTTATAGGTATATGCAAGCATGCGTTGCAAAATTATTCATCTTTTTTTTCACAATCTAAAAATATCTTATATCATACTGTGTGTTAAAAAGTATGCTCAATTGAAAACCTCTTTTTGACTTTTAGGTTGTTTATGTCATTGAAAATCTAGTAATTGATATCTTTCATATTTATACAAACCTAAAAATCTATACTCATTTGGATATCCAACATCTACTAAATAATATTTTCCTATAATAAAAAGTGATGAATTTGTAACTTATTTCATAAAAGGAGGATTATATAGAAAAATAATTACAATAACATGAATTTTTTCTCACGTAATTACCCGTAGGTGATTTTTGAAAATATTATATTAGAATTGTCAATTACCTACAGAAAAAAATATATGTCATATGCATTATCTTCTCATCCTGTCAAAACAAAAAATAATTGAATGTCAAAGCTATATGCATTCATTACATTTTGAGTTGGTACACATTTTCTACTAATAAATAGGATTTGATTTTCTTGAGAAATTATTGCAGACACATGTGTGCCATCAATTACTCTTATGCAATTCTACATCGAATAGAAGAAGCATCAAGATGTCGATGATTGAAAAAATTTATCTAAATATAAACAAATTTATAGCATTAATAATATAATAATATATTAGTGTTACATTGAAATGAGATATGTATTTTGGATCTATCTCAATTCATAGTGGAGTGTTTTGAAATTCAGAGTCTTCTGGTTTTACAACATTTGTTGCGTGCATATAAACAAATTTAAGCACTTTCTTAAAATATTTGTTAACAATCTCGTCTAAAGATTGAAATCTTTCTTAAACTTCTCTATTTGAAGCATCTAATGCTATTATATAAAAAACATTGCCATATTTTCAATAATACTCCTTTTTTTTTTAGCTTATAATTTGTACTTTGTTTCTAAATCATAACATGTTATTGCATCCATCCTAAACATGAAATATTATTTCTAATGTTCATGTAAAATTTTATTCAATCATATAATACCCGTGTTCTACAA